GGGGGCTGTGGAAATATTGTGGCGTGTTGCTGCAGCAGCCGGAGCCATCACTGGAGCGGCCGTCGGGGCCATCAATGGAGCGGTCGTCGGGGCCATCACTGGAGCGGTCGTCGGGGCCATCACTGGAGCGGTCGTCGGGGCCATCACTGGAGGAGTCGTTGTGGTTGCTGGGGCCGCCGCCAACGTAGTTGGATGTTCAGTGCAGCAGTTTTTAAAGTGACTGATAAACATCTCCTTTCTCCCAATGATTCTTGGGCAAAAGCCACAGTGATAATGGCTACTGGCCACACATTTTAGATGGCATTTATAAACATTATAACCTAAAAAAAGAGACAGAAAGTGGTTTAGAGGATTCTAGAAACAAACCAACATGAATTTCTTGTAAATATGCAATTTGAAACAAGGTGTTTGTGCGAGAGCAATAAATAATCATGTCACCAACAATAATATTTTTGCCTATAAACTGAATTTTTGCAGATTGAATGTGTGATTATGCTCATATTGTGCCTACCCCAAATAAGGATACTTTTCCAGCATTATTAACACTTCATAACCTGAATATAAATCTAATTTTTAATGTTCAATTTATAATTCTAAATTAATTTACACCAAGGATGTCCTGGGGCACAGAAATAACACATGTATCCATAATGTGTGAGGCATTAAACGCATCTAACAAGTAACATGTAATGTAATGTGATGAAGTATACAATGATCATATTGAATTATAGATGTACTTACCTCCATATTTCACAAGTGCCCTCTGGTGGCTCTGCAAATGAGCCATCAGACCAGGGTATGACCCGGTCCTTTCACAAAATGGACACTGGAAGGTGTCCGAGTCCAATTTGTTGAGCTCTGGGCGTGCTCCATCACGGAGTGTTGTGTTGTTTGTCTATAGGTGAATAAAATAGAATGCAATTTCAGTGACTTTAATATTGGAAATAGTTAACTCCTTAAACAAGCAGCAATGGACTGGCCTGTATAATCCTATGGGACAAAGCTGGTCATACTTCCTCACTTTCAGAAGGTAACCCTTTAACTGCCAGCGCCACCATTTGGTAGAGCACATTTTGTGTCTTGATATCTTGTCAGCCAGCTCTACCCTTTTGGTTGACATGTTATGCACAAAACAACCTCTAGATGTCACTGTGGTTCGAACAGAAAGCCCTTCAGCTAGTTTACATCTTTATATATACAGTCTATGGTTTAAATGTCAGGCCTACAGCATGGCCACAAACCCCATCTAAAAACAGAGGCCTGATTGCATCCACCTGGGTTACTTGGCTCTACCCAATAACTATATATCATTTAACTTTAAACCACACTTAAAATAATAATATAATTATACATATGTGCATGTCAGTATAGCAGCTAATACATGTTTTTTTTTTTTTTAAAAACATTCAAATGTGAAAGACACCTTCAATGAATATTTAAAACTTACACAAAATCAGATTCTTGTAAAAATGCGAGTACATGCATTGTTCCATCTGTCAAGCTAAAATATATACATATATCTTAGCTCTTAGCTTGACATGCTAACTGAACGAGCATGTTCAGTTAGCATATATGCTAACTGAACGTCGAGCATGTCAAGCTAAGAGCTAAGATATATATATATATATATATATATATATATTTATATGTATTCCATTCCTTTACATTTAATATTTAAAATACAAATTAGCAAAATAAACACAATTACACTGCGCTAAACAGCCACATCGACAAACAAACGAGAACCTAAATAGTATGTAATTATATCTAAAACCACAATACGTTAATTACCTGTACTCGGTGCGCCATATTGTTTGTCTGTTCTCTGTAAACCTCATGTCTCCTTAAATATCCTTTCGTCAGCGTCAGTGTCGTCAATTCGCTTTTAATCTGCCATGTACGGTAATGTCTCTCAGCCATCGTAGTGTCGTGTCAGGTGGGCGTGTCGTGTAGTGGGCGTGTCGTGTAGTGTCGTGTACTGGCCGCGGCCGCAGCTAGACCCTTCTCCTAGATTCCACCGGGTCCGTCTGCGCCGCGTCACGGCTGCGCCGCGGTTTTGGTCCAGCCTCCTCCGGCATACCCTACCAGGCGCGTTTCAGAAGCATTTCAGAAGCGGAGCGTCTTGCCTGCCGGCTCGCAGTTTTTGTTGATTTGGGCATATTTCCTGGACAGGCTACTTTGTACAGACAAAGTTAATAATAACTGTAATATTCCAGTTATAAACGACATGAATCAAAGATGTGTTGCTGTATTTTAGTGGTAAAAAAATGCATTCATCATCATAATTATTCTATATATATAATTTACACAGTGCCTGAAAACCGGAGGAGAACGCTGGCATTTCTCCTCCTACTTGAAAGACTACGGAGGGATAGGGTCTGCAAAATTAGTTTGTGTGTGTGTATATAGAATGGGGAGGCTGTGGCGCAGTGGCCTAGTGCGTTGGTGTTCGGCTCAGAGGAGCACAGGTTCAAACCCCACTGCACTCAGCATGTCGTTGTGTCCCTGGGCAAGACACTTCACCCCAAATTGCTCCTGTGGGGATTGTCCACAGTATATTGAGTATGTATGCTTTGGATAAAAGCGTCTAACAGGTAACATGTAATGTAATGTAATGGAGGAGACATCTGATTGGCTATATAGAACAAAGTACAAGTACGAATCGGGTCACCGTCAGGGGAGTCTCAAAAAACCCACACATGAATGCACAGCGATCCATGCACAGAAAGCGGGTTGTGTTTGCAGGTGCAGCAGTTTTAAACGGAAAACAAATATGTGTGGATCAAAAATACATATGTAAAACTTTTTTCTGTGTAAAACTTTTATTTACATGTAGCCTATATGAGGAAACGGAAAACATGCGACATAACTCTCTGAACAACACAACCCTCTGATGCGTGTGTTGATAGCTTGGCACGCCACTTCCCTGGAACCGTTGCTGCTTCCAGTGTTTCCTCCTGAAGTCTTTGATCACTACCCAGTCACCGGGCTTGAAGTGGTGTTGTGGCGCATCAGCTGGCGTCTGCAGTACGGCTTTCATTCAAGAACCCCTTGTGCGTTTAATTAACACAGCCATGCTACAGCAGTGAGCAGGAGAGGTGGGGAAAGGTGGGGCTATCGTTATTTTTTCAGGAAATATTCGTATAGAGGTGATTACACGGACTCGGTTGACCCCCCAGAGCGTTTCGTTTGCAAATCTATCCACCTTGGGACTCGTTATCGTTTGTGGGGTCAGTTTCTATCGGCCTCGTGTAAATAATAGGGCTATACGCACGCGAAACTATGCAGATACAAGCAGTTTTCTCCTTGTGTAAACGGCGCCTAGAAAACTGCTCTGGGGGGTCAACCGAGTCCGTGTAATCACCTCTATACGAATATTTCCTGAAAAAATAACGATAGCCCCACCTTTCCCCACCTCTCCTGCTCACTGCTGTAGCATGGCTGTGTTAATTAAACGCACAAGGGGTTCTTGAATGAAATAATATTATAAAAGGCAAACCAGAATTGTTAACGCCCAATATACTCCTTAAACAAAATAAACAGAGTCAGATTTCATGCATTGATCCATTATATTGACAAAGGAGGATCTCACCCGGTGTTTGTAGCAGTGACGTGCAGTCAGTGGAGGCAGGGGAGGCAGAGCCTCACCTGTCATACTCCAATGTAACGGAAAAACAACTAAAGAAAAACGAAATAGTAATAATAATAAAATGTCTCCACTGTGTTGTAAGTGTGATTTATGTATGATTCTAATCGCTTTTTATAGTCAAAATCAGCAAATTTGCCGAGCTCCGCTACGGGAGCGATGACAAGTGAGGCAGGGGCGTGCTCTGCCTCTCGTAAGCCCACAGTAACTTGCTGGAGCGCGGGCACTAATGCAGCGCGGGCACTTATTTTGTGAGCGCGCTCAAGCCATTTACTGTGGGCTGAGTTGAGGCACAGATGAGATCTGCCTCACCTCAGAATGCGTCACCCCACAGAAACTGGCTGGAAAGCGGGCCCTAAGCGCATGCCTGTTACCATCTCACTGTAGGTCACCAATGTAATGTTTGTAGATCCCTTTATTACATTTATCCTCGCCATCCATAGTCTCTAAATAACTTATTTCACGTATATATGATATTTAGGCTCGCTGGTATCAACGGCAATGAAAATGCACCAGGGGAGGCAGCCATAACCTCTGCCGCACTGAAGGGGGCGCACGTGGGCCCACAGGTTCTTGTTGCTACTGTAATTCTACGCAGAGACGGTAGACGTAACAACAAACTAGACTTTTGAAACTACAGGAAGATAAGGAGGACTTTTACAAAAAAGTAATAGAGATTGTTGTCCAGAAGGATAGCATGGACTTCATCTTCAAGTCAAGGTAAGACCACATTTGTAATGAAAATGGGGATTTTGGGTATACTTTTGTTGAACGGTCTGTTTAAAATGAATCGAAGCATCAGACTAAAAAAGCTTTTGAAAATAACCGAATATTTTGATTAAGGTCAAAATATAATATTTGTAAATCTGACTCAGTGCCTCACCAGCCATGAACCTCACCGCACGTCACTGGTTTGTAGAGAATATCTCTCTGAGCGAGTCCTCTCCACGGAGACATGCTCCTCCTCCTGTCAGTAGCTACTGCTAGTGCTACTGCTACTGACCATGCTACAGATATTAGTGCAAAAATATACAGCTCCTCTACCACAACCATCAGCAACAAGTGGACATGGAGAATTACATGAACTACATGTTGCTAAATCCACGGTGGGGCGTAAACAGAAGGGTAGCCATGGCAACATTGCTGCGGGGCTGCTGCGGAGTCTTCTTCACTGCTTTTGGTGTATTTTGTGGCGGAAGTTACAGCGCCACTTACAGTCCCGGCATATGTACTACAGCGTTTCCAGCGGTCTCGTTTGAACAGACACGTTAAATGAAACAAATGCATGTGAACGGAACACTTTTTTGAATACGCATACTGTGCATAAACGCAAACGGTCCCGTGTGAGCGGGGCATACAGTAGTTCAACAAAAGGTAACTTAAATTGTCTCAACTTTCAGAAACTAAAATTACATTAACAGAATAATATTCTTTATATCTGTGCCAGTTCGTCTTGTGCCTTGTGCCATCAAGAGAGCCAGCTTTTCACGCCAACAAATATTTGTAGGTGCTTTCACAATGATGACATGCTATTCTCTTTTTATTAATCAGTAAAATAGATCTTTACAGGAATATTTTGAATATTATTAATCTTTATGGCTTTGTAAGATTATATGTCTCTATTTAACACAATGGACATGATTATCACATTTGTTTCAGTCTTACATTTTTATTGTCACTGTGCTTTTTAATATTTTCATATCAATAAAGTTAGTATTTCCTGATCATCTTCTTCTTTTTTTTTATATGTAAAATGACCTGTGACTTCCTCAAATGATGTGTGACTTCCTCAAATGATGTGTGACTTCCTCAAAAAGATAAAGCATTTAGAAATTCAAACCAGCAACCACACTTTCCCCAGTCACATACTTCAGGATACTTGCTGCAGAGCTGACCTTCTAGGAAAGAGTTGGCATTCCCATGAGCAATGGAGAAAATCTATGACAATGCTGTTGATGTCAAAACCCTAAGCTCAAGATCATCAACAATACAAGAAGGTAAGAGTGTCAGACAGAGTGCACTGTGGATTTTGGATTTACTGTACTTTTTTACTCCCTGGTCTTCTCTGTGTTCAGGTCCCAGGAGACTTCTCAGAGCGTCTGTTCTCGGTCTGGGGCTGCTGAGTGTTTTCCTGCTGGCTGGACTCATCGGCCTCGCTGTCCACTGTGAGTCTTTCTTTTAATACGTTTAATAATGTCATTTTGAACGTGTGATTTTAAGGAGCAATATTCTGCTCTGAAAGATGCACATTTGACCAAAACATCTATCGTTTTTCTACTTTTCTCCTAGGGCCAAATTAGGAAAATATTGACTTTGGTTTGTGTCAGTATGATTGCATCAGGTAATAAGAAACATCTATTTTCATTTCAGACCATTACTCAGTAGGTGGTGCCGCTGCAGATTTCTCCGCTGTCAAAGCAGACCTGTCCTCAGTGACTGAAGAGAGAGACAACCTGACTGAGCGTCTCCAAGCCAGAGATCAGCTGATCAACCAGCTGAAGGCCAACCTCACTGAAAAGACCAGAGAGGTTGAGTGTTTGAGTGAGTGCTTCATGTGGGGGGTTTGCATAGGGCTCAGTATGTGTAAGATATCAATTATCATAATATGTTTTGCAAAATACCTCAATATTGATATTCTAAGGCTGACTATTGATCCTTTCATAACATAGTTACAGAATGAAACTTTTCATTAATGATAATTAAGAATTGGTTTTTAATGACTTAGTTGTGAGTGATTTCATTTATAGTTTGTTTTATTTTTCTTCACCCACCATATTTATATTTCTCTGTAAACTATGCTTATGGCCAGTTTCCTTGTCTAAATTACTTTAATATAAGCAATAGGAAGAAGAACTTAGAGGTAGTTTGTTCCAGATATTTGCAGCATAATAATAATAATAAAGGATAACAAGGTTTCAAACCAATTTAGAACTGTTGACGAAAGTCAGACCCAGTTTTCCAGTCGGTCTAGTAACTAACACCGAGATGTTGCCACTGTCTGTGTTTAAGTGGATGTCATTGAAGACTTTAACAAGATCAGTCTCAGTGCTGTGGTGCCTGACTAGATCACATCCAAACAGTTATTTAAATCCCAAAAAAGAGAAGTAGTTGTTCTGCAATGAAATGTGTGATCTCTTTTGATCCCTCTAAAAATGCTTAATAAATATTTGTTTTCAATATTATTACAAAAGTGACATATAATGCACTCAAGGGTTCCATATTTCAGCAGTTAAAGCAGTAAATCAACAAGATCTTACTACTTTTACAGAGAAATCGTGTCCTGAAGGATGGAGGAAGTTTGATAGTTCCTGTTATCTCTTCTCTACTGAGAAACGTTCATGGGAACAAAGCAGAGACAACTGCACAGCCAGAGGAGCACATCTGGTGATCGTAGACAGTGAGGAAGAACAGGTAATGTGTGCTGCTTTAACACTTGTGATTGTATAACTCCTGCTTTTATCAATCAATAATGTTTTTATTGTACATATACTAGCAAATGTGTCTATCAGCTATAATGATTACATCACAACAATGGTGTTGGTTACATATTTCTGAGCTAGTAAAAAGGGAAAAGTTATCTGAATGTTGATGTCCATCCCAGTAAACTGCATTTTTAATATGTGAACAGGAAATCATAACTAGCATGATCAAGGAAGACACTTGGATTGGTTTGAGTGACAGAGAAGAGGAGGGGACCTGGAAATGGGTGGATGGATCTCCACTGAATCTGAATCTGACGTAAGGCTTTACTTTGGTTTTAAATACAGATGCTGGTTTATGTTGTGACCTTTCTAAATGTTTCACATGTTTCTGTAATGGGAGTTAACACAACACACAGGATGCATTTAAACGTAGGGTGTCTGCCCCTTTCACCAGAAGACTCATTTGGGTATTAAGAAAAGAACATGGCTGTATTACTTATAGTTATTTGTATTTGATGTCCAATCTTTTAGTTCATCTTGTTTTCCTGTAATACCTGTTAGGTTTTGGAGCAGAGGAGAGCCTAATGATTATCATAAAGGAGAGGACTGTGCCCACATCAAACCTGACACCAAAAGGTGGAACGACGCGTCCTGTGAGCACGATCTGCATTGGATCTGTGAGAAAGAAGCTTAACATTGGTGTCTGTTTGGATACCAAACATGCAATCATGCTTTTACAATTTATTTTAAATTGAGTTATTTAAAACTATTCAAAATGCCTGATTTCATGAATAAGAATTACGTTTCATGACTCGCAAAATCACAATTAGTTTTTTGTTTTTTTTTCAAACTAATATCAGCAATAAATAAATAGTCATTTAATATGTTTTTGCCAACTTTTATTTGACTCAATTAAATTAGTATTTGTAATAATCCTTTTACATATCAACATAAAAACAGCTTCCTAAAAACATCTGCTGATAAGCCCACAGTTCCTGAAAGCTATAATATTGAAGGTGCCTTATTGAGCAGAATATGATATAAATAAGAAGAATAAAAACTGTCAAACATTATTGAATAATTCAGAAATATACAACAATACTCTAGTCTCAGCATTGGTCTAACTTGTTCAAATGTGTAAAATAGCCTGTGTGTTTATACAGTATGTTTCCTAACAATGACCTCTTGTGGCCATGTGAGTACAAATCTATTGCAGGTATTTAACATTCATAGGTACCAGCCACTTTGTACATACTGTAAGAACTAGTGCTGTAAATTAATACAAACATGTATGTATGTTTATTACAATAATAATCTGGGACTTTAACTGCAGGATTTGCTCATGATTCATTAAAAAAGTAAACTGCCTTTTATTTGAAGTTAATTACAGACCTTTAGTAAATGGGCAAATTAGATATAGCTAGATCAGGAAATGGCAACTTTCGTTGAGCATGCATACAAAGATAAAAACCGTAAAAACATATTGTGGGTGTATTACATGTTCTCTGACAAGATAAAGCTCTTCCACTTCAACACATTGCTGTTATCAGATAAAAAGCAGCTTTACCACTTCACCTTTTTTTCTCAAAGTGAACAACTCCTCCCTGAAAGTTGTCTTGAATGATGTGCACTTTTTATATTTATGATCAGCAGCAGACAGAGTACTTCAGAGGAAAGACATTTGTGTTTATCAGCATTTAAAATTAAGATCCCTGCTTTCACAACAATGTCATGCTATTCTCTTTTTATTAACCAGTAAAACAGATCTATACAGGATCAATACATTTAGAATATTATTAATCTTTATGGCTTTGTAGGATGATATGTCTCTATTTAACACAATGGACTTGATTATCTCACTTGTTTCAGTCTTAAATCTGTATTGTCAATGTGCTTTGGCAATAGTATGTTTTTAATATGGGCATGTCAATAAAGCTTATTTGAATTTGTCTTGACTCTCAACTCTTGTTCTGTTGTCACATGTGTTATCATTATTTTCAGTTTACCCGTACAGGGTTAAGTATGGATACACTGTTGGGAAATACAAGAAAGGTGATACAAATTATGTACACAGGTTTAGAAGCTCTAAAAGGTGCATTTTTGAGAAGTGATTGGAGAACTATGTGTAAAGGAGAGTTGTTACAACACAAAAAACACCAGAATTTAAACTATGAACATTAATATAATTTCACTATTAGTTAAAGGTGGGGTAGGTAAGTTTGAGAAACCGGCTCGAGATACACTTTTTGTTATATTCCATGGAATGCTCTTAACATCCCGATAGCAATGAATATCTTAAGTGCTTTGACAAAAAATCCATAAAGCCGTAGTACTGTAAAAAGCACGACCAATCATTTTAGCCGGCCCTGCTAAAGTAACTGGATGGCCTACCTGCCTGTCAGCCTTCCATCTGTGCACAAACTTATCTCGTGCCCTCATTGGTCATGTGCACGTTCGTGTGTGTTGGAGGAGGGGCTCTGTAAGGAAGTGGCAGATTTTTTCCGGTTGTGTATTTTCAAAATCTAGCGCACTCGAGCTGGTTTCTCCAAAATTACCTACCCCACCTTTCATGGCCTAAACAACCCAATTAAAAAAGTGCTTATACAAATGAAACATCAAGGTGGAGATATTGTATTTATGCAAGAAACACATCTGTCAAAAGTACTGTGCAACATTGTTGATAAATGCAAGCACCGACACCTGTCTGCTCTCACATTCCCGCATTATGTCTTGCGGGAACCAATGAAGTCCAGGGCAAATAATTGCAAGTCTCTTCAATGCGCATGTCACAAAACGTGATGCATTGTGGGACATGTAGTTTATGGGCAACCTGCTTCTGTAAAGTGGCAGTAACCGTATAATAAACGTATTATATTCTTTGTAAGCTCTTGCGGGGCCACATAAAATGAAGTTGCGGGCCGGATTTGGCCCCCGGGCCTTGAGTTTGAGACCCCTGCATTAACCCATTGAGTTACTCAATCCAACCTTATTCTTTATCAAGTGGATCTTGTTGTGGAGATCCAGCACTCACACAACAGGAAAGAATGAAACAGAGAGGAACCAATACTCCACAAACACAGATATAGCTGATAAGTAATTATTATTTAGTTGTTGCAACAAACAAACAATAATGGGCAGTACATCACCTGCTGCCACAGCAGCCAATCGCGGAAATGCCCCCAAGAACAGAAGAAACACAGGGCTAGATATACTTTTCTAAATGACACACGAACATGTTCCCCAAACATGTTTAACGCACACACATTTTATCATGCAGCCAACCACACAAATGTCACATGTTTTTCTCTCTGAAAGCTATACCTGTACTGTATATGTTTAAACGTCATCATCTCATGACATCTTTAGGATTAGTTAACTAACAAAGGTTAACTGTTTTTATAACCCGAGGCCTTCTCTGCACTTCCTATACCCTCGGTGTCAGCTCACTTAAAATGAATACATCTATTGATAATTCAGAACGACCATTGTCTCTCTAACTGTGTGTGACCCAACTCAGTAACACACATCATATGGAATACCATGTGATCATTAATGAATATCATAAATACGCTGTATTAAACATTCTGCCATAACAATCTTGTAAGGAGTCATAAACGTCCAGAAAGGGTTTCCATGTTCTAATAAAGGTGTTAGAGGAGCCCCTGAGTAAGAACTTAATTTTCTCTAACTGTAAGAAGTACATAACATATTTGACCCACTGAGAAAAGGATGGAGGGGAATGTTGCTTCCATTTTAGAAGAATCAAACGTCTCGCAAGAAGTGTAGAAAAGGCTCTTTGGTAGGGTCTGGGTGATTTTTGGAGACTAGCTGTCACTCTATCCAGAGTGGCAACCGGTTTTCATATCGACTTTCTTCTTCTTCCTCCAGGCCTGAGCGTTGGGAGGAGGTGAAGAGGGCGGTGGACTGGGTCTGCTGGGCGGACCGGCAGTACCCGTGTGTCTACAGCCGGCTGGAGTTTGGATTCAGCTGGGAGTCCTCCACCCGCCAGCTGCTGGGCTTCGAAGGCCTCCCTCCCTTCTCCGCTCTCACGGGACTGAACCTGCAGAAGACCGTCCCCCAGGTTCTGGTCCACTGAGCAGGATAGTGAGAGGGAGGCAGTGGCGGTTCTACGGGGTGGCACGGGGTGGCACGGGGTGGCAGCTGCCACCTCAGAAAAATGCCTTGCCACCCCAGTTGGCAGCTTTGTTTTGAAAGAAAAGTTGTGGCTCATCGGACATTTATGAGAGAAAATCTCTAATATCCGAGTGCAAGTGAATGCAGCACAAGACGCGAGCCTTGTAACCCCTCCCCCGACCCTGGCGCGAGCTTGGAAATATGATTGGCGGCGATTTCATTTGAACGGGGGACAGCGCAAAACGAGAAGCATTTCGGATCCAAGTAGACGGAAGGAATGAGGTATTTGCGGTCTACAATGACAGAGAAGAGACTGTCAAGTTTGGCTGTACTCAGCATTGAATCAAAACGCACTAAAGCTTTAAATCTTAATAAGTTTGTGAGGCGTTTTGCTGAACAAGATGGTAATCGCCACATTCAGCTGTAATAGGCATGCCAACTTGATGCTCTGCTCACGGATGACTCGATGAGCATAAACAACTGTTAAGATGATGACCTTACGTGTGTATAAGTGGGGGTCTGCCCCCAAAAAACAGTTTCAAGTCCTGAGAGAGTCAAATAAGGTGTGTAAAACTTCACTGCCCAGCCAAAAAAAAGTAACCACTTTGATTTAACTAGGCCAAGGACTTTCCACTGGATAATAACTGCAGCGATGTATATGTTTTAGCTGAATACACGTTTTTTAACCCTAATTGATGCAGTTAGTCACTTCTTTAATGTTTGTTCTTTCTGATGTAAAGTCCAGGTTGTAACTGTTTGCAGTAAAGTCGTGGGGCGTTGAACTGTTCTTTTGATTCTTATGATATATGATAGTAATTATTTGTCTTTCAAATTTGAAGGAGGGTGAGCAAGCATCTTGAGGAACATTCATCATCAACTCCTCCAAAAAATATAGTTTATTCAATAATAAATGAATATGTGAATCATAACAGTGATTGACAGCTGATAGGAATAATATGATTGTTAATAGTATCATATTAATTTCGACAAACATCGACGAGACAGTTAATTAATGTACTTATTGCAGCAGTCTGCATAGATGTGGTACCCCTGCTGGTCTAAGAGTGAGACAAACTCATTCAGGGTTCATTTCAGTTAAAATTCATTCAATTACGTCTGCCACCTTATATATTTCTATGTAAGGCTTTAATGATGTGCCACAATAATGTCACGAAATGTTATTGAGTTAAAATATAAATATTGTGGCTTTCCAAGTTAACATTAATTGATATGACTGCGATTAAATCAGCATATACTTCTGCCAGGGGATGCCACCCCTGAAATTCTCCTGCCACCCTCTTGCCACCCCATGAATATTTGTCTAGATCCGCCCCTGGAGGGAGGTTCATACCCCTTTGCCTTTTTATGGGGATTACATAATCTATTGGATGTATTTGTAGCCTTTTTATTGTCAGTGTGTTTACATGTTCTTAAATAGGTAGATACAATTGGCTTACTGCAGACCTGACTTATTCAACTTAAACTGCTTTGGGTCTACATATCGCCTTTTCTGCACGTCAGCATATTTTTTCAAATGTATTCCAATAAGGGGAGAGCTTATACTGTTTTACACCGTGGTCTTCAGAGAAAGAGTTGCACCCCTCGTCTTTCTTCTGACCGTTCCACCTTTTTGGTCAAATTGAAAATATTTAAACTTTCCAGAAAAACGCTGTTGACGTCACTGAAGGAAATGACTGTCTCACTGTCAGACAGTAACCACCATAACAAAGACCAAAGAGCCTGTTTGTTGGAGCAGATCTGCCAGTGAGTGTGTGGCTTTTATCGTACCGTATACATATCATCCTCCTCACTCTAAGGCTGTCAGACTAAAGCTGTGACGCTCAATCACACAAAATGTGAGAACAAGCATCCTCCTGTTTGTTCTCATAGACACAATGTCAAACAAATACATAGCACAAATCGATAATAAAATCCAAGGAGTGAGGCTAGTCTGTAATACAACAATGGTGATACAGTGTCAAGGTATTGCTGTCATAGGAACAACAAAACAACATTGGGAGTTTATTTTTGATAAAACGCTCGGGGGAGACTCTGCTCGGTGCCTTTCTCCCAGAAAAAAAAGCATTATGTGGACAGGCCCTTATTCGGGGAAAGGGGATTTAAAGGTTAGATTATATTTGATGGCCATGTACACTGATACTTATCATCTTGTTCACATGCATGCAAATCCACAACAACGCCTTCAGACAGAGATAGCATCATTGTGACCAGTGATAAAAGGGAAGGTCACGATGAGTAGCAGTCTATCTGCATGTTTGTATCATCCCATCTCAAATTACGCAACTTCTCAAAGTCTACTTCTTCTAAATGTTCTACTGGTAAATGTAGTCACAGCTGTCTTCCCACAGTTGAACACACAGTCACATGTTATTATAAAATAAGGATGCAGTGCCTTTATGCCCAAAAAGGGTCAGTTTCTGACCTGCTGAAGGTGTGTGTTGCTTCTCTGAGTAACCTTGTACATTTCTTTTGTCTAGTGTTTCATTTATAACTGCCTTAAGTACCTTTGATTATTTTAGTGTAGGATATAAGATTTTCTTTCACAGTATATGCAGTTTTATATCATGGTAGCGGTATAAATCAGGGTACAGTATAGTATTGTTCTGTAAATTCAATAAGAAGTGGATTAAAACAACCAGTTTTTGGATTGTTTTCCTCTTTTATTTGGAACTATAATATTAACAAAATCAACCGACTCACGAGAGACAAAACAAAAGACTCAAAACCTTTAAAATTCTGAATGTGAAACACGTTTTAAGGTTAAACGGTGCAAATAACTTTGACTTTGAAATAA